TGATTCGACGGTCTTCACTTCCAAGACGACCCAATTCCATTCAACATTCAAGATTTTCTATAATGTTAGATGGGAAACTCAACGGACTCTCTAAATTCTCTATGGGTATGTATGAGTGGTGGTGTCACCACTCCGGTATAATTGCAATGTCTTTGTTGAAGCGTAGGTAGAATTTCTTCTTTCAAAAAAATTATTACCATGGAGAAAATGTATTTGAGATGTAAGCATTGTACATCTAATGGTTTTCACATCTGAATAAAGTTTAAAGGTTTCCTTAAAAGAAAAAAGGACTTGATCCATTAGTGGTTATAGTTTCCTGGTCTTGAGTCTCATAATTGTTTGGAAGGTGTGGTGGAAGAGATTATACCCAATAATTGCGGGCAAAAAGAAGAGGACGGGATGATCGATTCTTCACCATTCATTGGTCACAAATAATCATTCCTATGAATTTCATCTAGACTTTGCAAGAAATGCAAAGTATCCCATCAATAATTGGGAAGGATTAGAGTTCTTGTCCTCACAGAAACGATCTTCGCATATGTTCACTTATAGTGTGTCTTGGTGCTTTTGCTTGTATGATTTTTTTAGAGATAGAACTTTTCCTTGGCACCACGGTGAAGATCTTGTAGGACAACCGTCTGCACTTCCAGGGGATCATCACCGGCCCAAGCCCATTTATCGCTCAAGACTTTCCATATTTTAGATGGTCAACTCATGGGCTCGTTAAAATTTCTATCAATAATCAAGTTCGTGCAACTGTATAGGTGGTGTCGTTGCCACTCTAGTCTAATTGTAGTGTCATTGTTGAAGCGTGGATAGAATTTATTTATTTTTAAAATTATTACCACGAAGAAGACGTATCTGAGAGATTTCGATGTAATTTTTACTTTCAGTAATTACTTGGTCTACTTTTGGGGGTCTTTGATCATAAGCACTACACAAGTAATGTTTGTCACATTTGAATAAAGTTACATGGTTTTCTCAAAAGAAAAAAATACTAGTTTCATTAGTGGTTACTTGCCTCATCTAAAATCTTGACATTGTTTGGAAGGTGTGGTGGAAGAGATTATATGCAATAATTGCAGGCAACAAAGGACGGTAAGATTGATGCTTCACCATTCAACGATCACGAATAATCATATGCATGAATAATCTGCACTTTGCAAGAAATGCAAAGAATCCCACCAATAATTGGGAAGGATTTAAAGTTCTTGTTCTTGCAGAACCGATTTTTTGGGATCGGTTGATTTTTTGTTAGTGTGTCTCGGTGCTTTTGCTAGTATTGTGTTCTTGTAGAGTTGGAATCTTTCCTTGGGTAAGGATCTTGTGGTTCGACAGCCTGCACTTCGAGGGGGTCATCACCGGCCCAAGCCCATTCATCTTTCAAGACTTCCCATCATTTTAGATGGGCAACTCAAGGGGCACTTTGAAATTTCTATCGTTAATCAAGTTCATGTGCAGATGTATGAGTGCTGGTGTTGTCACTCCGACCAAATTTCAATGTCTTTTCTGAAGTGTTGGTAGAATTTCTTCTTTAATAAATTATTACCATGGAGAAGATGTATGTAAGAAATTCATTGTATTTTTTAGTTTTAGTAGTTACTTTGTCTACTTTTTGGATCTTTGATCATAAGCTTTGTACCTTTAATGATTGTTTTAGTTAAACAAAGTTACAGGGGTTTCTCGAAAGAAAAGAAAAGGACTAGTTCCATTAGTGGTTAGTTTCCTGATCTTGAGTCTTGCCGTGTCTGGAAGGTGTAGTGCAAGAAATTATACCCAATAATTGCAGGCGACAAGAAGAGGACAAGATGATTGATGCTTCACCTTTCACGGATCTCCAATAATCATTCATACGAATTTCATCTGGACATTGCAAGAAATTGAAAAAGGATTTAGAGTTCTTGTCCACGCAGAACCGATCTTCAGGATATGTTCCCTTTTCGTTAGTGCGTCTCACTGCTTTGGTTGTTAGGGTTTTTTTTAGAGTTGGAATCTTTCTTTAGCACTAAGGTGAAGATCTTATGCTTCAACATCTACACTTCCAGGGGATCATCATCGTCCCAAGTCCATTCATCGATTAAAACTTTCCATTTTTTATATGGGCTACTCAAGGGGCTCTCTGAAATCTCTATTAGTAATCAATTTCGTGCAAATGTAGGATTGGTGGCTTCGCCACTCCTGTCTAATCTAAGTGTATTTGTTGAAGCGTTGGTAGAATTTCTCCTCTTAAAAATTATTACCACGGAGAAGACGTATCTGAGAGATTTCATTGTAATTTATAGTTTTACCAGTTACTTTGTCTACGTTTTTGGGTCTTTAATCATAAGCATTGAACCTTTAATGGTTGTTGCATTTGAACAAAGTTGCGGGGTTTTCTCAAAAGAAAAAAAACTAGTTCCATTAGTGGTTAGTTGCCTGATCTAGAGTCTCGTCGTGTTTGGAATGTGTGGTGGAAGAGATTTTACCCAATAATTGCAGGCAACAAGAGGATGAGATGGTCGATGCTTCACCATTCACCGATCACCAATAATCATTCGTACGAATTTCACATGGACTTTGCAATAAATGGAAGGAATCTCATCAATAATTGTGAAAGATTTAGAGTTCTTGCCCTTGTAGAACCGATCTTTCGGATTTGTTGACTTCTTGTTAGTGCACCTCCGTGCTTTTGCTGGTATGGTTTTTTCTTTAGAACTGGAATCTTTCTTTGGAACTACGACGAAGATTGTGATTCGAGAGTCTACACTTCCAGGGGGGTCATCACCAGCCCAAGTGCATTCATTGCTCAATACTTTCCATCTCTTTAGATGGGCAAGCGAAGGAGCTCACTGAAATCTCTATTGATAGTCAAGTTCATGCCAATGTACGAGCGGTGGCGTCGCCGCTCCGGTCTGATTGCATTATCTTAGTTGAATCCTTGGCAAAATTTCATCTTTCAAAAAGTTATTACCATGGAGAAGACGTATCTGAAAGATTTGATTGCAATTTTTAGTTTCAACAACTACTTTGTCTACTTGTCTTAAAAAAAAGACTTTTCCATTCGTAGTACGTATTACTCCCTCCGTTCCAAAATAGATGACTCAACTTTATACTAACTTTATACTAAAGTATAAAGTTAGTATAAAATTGGGTCATCTATTTTGAAACGGATGGAGTACTAGTTAGCTGCCCAATCTCGAGTCTCGCCATTGTTTGTTTGGAAGGTACGGTGGAAGAAATAATGCCCAATAATTGCAGGCAACAGGAAGAGGACATGATGATCGATGCTTCACCGTCCGCCGATCGCCAATAATCAGTCGTACTGCCAATTCCATGGGGAGTTTGCAGGAAACGGAAAGAATCGCGTCGATAATGGGGACGGATTTCGTGTCCGTGCGTCGTCGCTGTCAGGCAAGGCACGCCAAGCCCGCAAGTGAAAAGGGGGAGCGTCCGCCCTTCCCTTCCCTTCCCCGCACCCACCCCAACCAAAGCCCACTTCTTTGCCCCCACTTGGCCTTCTTCTCCTTCCCCGCGAGGCGACCGACGCGGAGGGTAGGAGGATGTGCGAGGGGCGGCGCCCCGGGCACGCGAGCCGGCCGCCGTGGGCGCTGGCGGCGGAGCTGCGGCGGAGGGAGGCCGCGGCGGACGCGCGGCTGGCGGCGGCGCGGGCGCGGCTGGCCGAGGCGCTGGCGGAGCTGGAGCGGGCGCGGGCGCGCGCCGCCGAGCTGCAGCGCCGCCTGGAGGAGAACTACGGCAAGCGGCGCCGGCTCAAGCGGGTGGTGGCCGCCACCCGCTCCCGGATCCACGACACCCGCGCGCTCCTCCAGGACCACCAGGACCCGCCGCCGCCGCCGCAGCAGCAGCTCCCCGCCGAATCCGATCCCACCTCCTAGGTAGGCCTGGCCGTCTTCCTCGATTAAGCCCTCGTCGTGATCAACCGATTGATCGAAGCGTAAACAGTATCTGACATCGTCCTCTCCTCTTGATTCGTCGTCCGCAGAGAGGGAGTCGCGGCAGGGTGATGTGAAGTCCTGCTCTGAAGACCGATCGGATCGGCAGGCTGCGAGCCTACACAGCTACTGATTTCATTCCCCTTTCTTCATCTTTTTTTCGCGTCGGAAGCTAGCTAGTAGCCTAGTAGCTAGCCTCTGCAACATACGGGCGGGGCGAATGTTCCATGGGACATCAATCAGAAAAAGGCTTGTCATGTCATTCGCGTCGCATACAGTGACTGAAATGAATCGGAAGTCAGCACCTGGCAGGGACTCACTCTGTAATACAGTACACTAGTAGTAATAATCATGCCTTCAGTGACTGCACGCATACATGTGCCGAAATCTTCAGCTCCTGTCGTGTCAAACATATATGCTACCGTCACGAAACCCTGTTATGTCATTCACTTGGGCGCGCTGAAAGGAGCTGGCCGAGATGCCCGCATTCCTTTTAGATGAGTTGCCCGCGATTGCAAGGAAAGAATATCAGACGCAACGCTCACCAATGACTGTAGCATTCCTTGCCGCTGCCGTCGCAGGCTCAATAATCTCCACATACCCAATGGTATAGAGAAGATCATGCTAAGATAAGACAAGACCGATGCTAGAGTGTACCATGGCATATTATGCTGTCCAACTTTCATCGTCGCACACAAGGAAGAATGCTGTCGAACATGGCACATTATGCAGTCAAGGGCGGGAGCGATGGAGTACTGTATAGTTTCATCAGCCTGAATTCTTACATGAGTTGACACAACAAAATATAAATCGATCCCGATATCGAAAACTCGACTCTACAGAGCTCTTGTATGCACGGTTCCCAGGGTTCACAAAATCAAGTCCGCCATATGGTCTATACTACAACCAACGAATTCATTCACTTGAATAACTGCTTGTAACGAGGTGTAAAGGTGGCTTCAAACTACTCGCTTGAACGGGCAGATACGGGATACAAGTCATCGAAGCATCACTTGATCCAGAATTTCTTTCTCCAGTGTTATAACAGGCCGGCTTCCTTGTTTAGTAGAATCACCATATCTTGTTCTTGGCCCAGAACAGTATTATTACAACCCCAATCACAATGGCAACCGGAGCATACTTCCGAATGAAGGCCTGAAACCAAGAAGCAGCACAATTAACATAGAAGTCAAAACACTAAACATAATACATGATGGAATTTTTTCAGAAATACGCAGATCGTGATGCAAATTGGGGACTATATAGAAATGTGGATAATGAAGCTAATAAAGTATCACCTCCGTTCCCAATTATAAGACATTTTGGATATTTCAATATAGACTACATACATACTGAAATGAGTGAACAAACACGTCTATATACATCTGATTCAGGAAAAGTTAGAACATCTTGTACTGTAATTCGAAACGGAGGGAGTAATCATAAGACTTCCATCAAGGACACAAAGTCTTGACAGACACTGCAATTGCAAATGCTTGCCTTCTAAAAATTTATCAGATTTACCTGGGTAGTAACTAGAAACTCCATTTTGCTAACCACAGGGTATACTTGTGAACTATCAGCCTAATAACAACAGGTGTGTTGGAAGCATATAAACTTTAGTCAAACAAAAATTAGAGAGTATTTTTCATCCATGGAACATACTCCCTCTGTCCCAAAATAATCTTCTTAACTTTGTACTAACTTTAGTACAAAGTTGTACTAAGGTTGAGACACTTATTTTGAGACGGAGGGAGTACATTTCTTTGATGCTTCAAGGGCAAAACTCAAGCTAATGAAATTGATCATTATGTCAAGGTATTCAACCAAAAACAAAACAAAAATGGTATTCCTGACTACGATGGAGAAAATGCTCAAATTCATTAGAACTAACAAATGTATATATCAAAACAGCATATGCATTCAGCACATAGATTACCTGGCGATTGAGATCCTTTGCCTTATCAGCATAGATTCTCGTGTCAGATGTCAACCTACTTGACATTTCACTAACCTCTGCAAAAATAGAAACACGGAACAGTAAACAGTTACTTGCCAATTTCAAACCTTCCAATGCACTGGAATGAGGTGAAAAGGGAGATATGGGAAGCATCTTGAAAACGCAAAAAAAATACATTGTGCACCAGAAGTAAAGCTAAGGAAATAATGATATAGTATGAAGCTTTTTTAACTTAAGTAGTAAATTAAGACCTATTGGAAGGATAACTCCTCGATGATAACTTTGATGTAAGTAATCAATGATATAAACATCTACCCGTTTCTCATGCCAGGAACATTAAATGAAGCAGTAAAAGCAAGAGAGATTTTCAGACTTACGATCTAGCTTCTCACCGACACCGAGAACTTCTTGAACATTGCGAGTCATGATTTGATGCACCTCATAGAGCTCATCGTTCAATTTCGCAATGTTCCTCTGGGTTCTGGTATCCAAATACAGTTTCTTAGTCTTCTGTATGTATGTATCTAAATAGAAAGAAACATAGGTTATCAACCAGCAGAACTTGAGAGTGAGAGGGTGAGTGAGAACTTTGAGAGGGTGAATGAAAATGATGCTTGCAACTGAAGTAGAGATTTAAAAATCATACCAAACTTAATGAAAGCGTAAGGCCTTGCAGCAGTTTCAATTTGACTCCCATTGACCCTCTCAAATTCATTTTTCAGATCTTCCAAGTACTGGAATGCAAGTTTCTTTGGATAAGAACGGTCGCACATTGTTAGATAGCATACTCGGCCTTCAATGATGTAACTGCATATCTGATTAAGGTGGAACAAGAACATACCGCAACAAATGTAAAAAAATCAACACATGCTAAAAATATATGTACAATATCATAGAAGCCTCTAATAAAAAAAACTTAGCAAAGGTAGATGACCTTGCACACAAATATCAAGACCGGGTATCATATAGGTGTCGCTGGGTATCGTATCGGTGTCACTGCTTGTTTAAATGTAGTCCATGATTAGTCAACAAATATTGTCAACAAAACAATACAGATTCTGGCTAGCGAAAGCATGCAGAGTATCTACGAATCTGAATATATATATATAATAATGTCATTGCATGTCTAAATATAATACCTAGGATCAAGCATCTTCCTCGGACAGAAAATAGACTACAATTAACAAAGGATACTGGAAAAAGTATGATCCAGTCTCAATTGACATCCGTGAGGCTTCATGTTGCCCCTTTGACAAGTTCTTGAAAAGAAGTTTAGCTTGCTGCTTGTAGAAATCAGAATCCTTCTGATCCCGCCCGTCATCCAGCCCTTCTGCCAGCGGAAGGCCATCGGTGACACGTGCTATCATTGTCAGCTTCACCATTTTGCGAAGAACCCCAGAAACCACTACAAACTATACAGTTGATAGCCAATAAAGGCACCTGCAAGGCAAAGCAGCAAATGAGTGCTTCAGTCGTAGTCCAGCTTCAGCTTTTGATTCGATATACATTAAGCACAGCACATATCAAAATTTCTAGTCAATTAATAAACAAAGTGTGGCCAACAATCAAGTAATCCATGTCATTTGACAGTAGCAATCCTAATGGAACAACTTGTTCATCATTCAAATTCACAAAAGGAATCACTAGCAAGGTGCTTCTAACTTGACTAACAAATATTTAATGGCAACTAAAAATGGCATATACAAGAAATTCAAATACCGTATGATTTAAATTCTACAAAGTTTGCATCAGAATGCTAGACATATTCATATAACTAACAGAACTGACAAGTACAATCCATTTGTGTATCCCTAAGAAAATCAAACGCATGCTAAATTACTTAGTTCACAACACATATTTCATTAGTTACATGTAAATTTAGAAGGTGCAGCTGGAACATTACCAAGCTAAATTACCCAGTTCACGTACAACACATCTTCATTACTAACTTGAATTTAAAAAGTGAAGGCGCAACATCACTTAAGAGCCATACAGAGAAAAAAAAACCATGCATAAACCCCCTCCTGCTCTAAGTACCCAAAGCATTAGATACGGGCGATCACATGGACCTGTCATATGATGAACTATGCAAATGATCCACAGCCCCCATGCATAAATGCACAACTGACAGACTGCCAATCTGTTCAACACACAACTCCACGTGCTGGTCTGTTTTCAAAATGAAAACTCATTACAATTGTCCTGCATAAATCTACATCACAACAACAATACAAATACACCCATCCACCTCCTATCACTCAATCAAACAGCCCACGTAGTAGCCCGAGGACTAGCTAGCTTGCCCGCCCAACCAAGCTCAACAGCAGGCACAATTTCCCCTCGAGCACGATTCGAGTCACTGCCAGCAAACTGCTAAACCAGAACACGCGATTAAACCACTACGATTGGGATAAGAAACGTCGTGATCCCCCGCAATTGGGCGCGAAGCTGTCTGTCACGCGGCCCGATCCACCCACTCGGCTTCGTCGCCAGCCAAGCAGCAAATCGTGCTAGGAGCAACCGGTAGATCGAACCCCGGACTCCGGAGGGGACGAGATCCCGCCAGATCTACCGGGCGGATCTGGACGAGCTAGATCAGAGGCCGGCACGAGACGCCTGGGCCAGGAGTAGAGGGGACGGGGGAGGGGGGTGGGGGCGTACGGTGGGAAGAGAGCGCGGCAGCTGGAGACGCGGCGGCCGTCTCCGGGGGAGTAGATCGCCGGGGTCGCCAGAGGGAGGGTTTGGCGGGGCTGCTGGCTCGGCTTCGCGTGTCGGTTGGGAGATTGGCCGGGGCGGAGGCGGAGGGGGATACCACGGGTCTCCGACCCAGAATGTTCTTATTTTTCTTTTGGAAAAAACTCTGGACCAGTTGGCGGAAAATGACGGTGTCCGGTCTGTGCACGTACAGCCTAACTTCTTTTTTCCGCGGCAGGTACAGCCTATCAACGGCCAGGTAAGCCCAGTACATTTCGAGGCCCATGTTCTCTAGCCAACTTTTTTCCCATCGAAGTTCCATTCCCATTTGGCGAGAGCCGGCCGCCGACTCCCCGCCATGGCAAAGCCCTAAACCGCAGACCTCGCCGGTGGCGGGCTTCTTGATTGGCCGCCTAAGAACTCACGCAGCCGTGAGGATCGCAGAAACTCAGGCCTCTTTTGATTCATAGAATTGGAAAATCATAGAAAAGTCATAAGAAATGAGATGACATGAATCTCAAATTATATGCATAGGAATAGAAAAGGAGATGCCCTTTGATTCACATCATAGGATTTTTTTCTATTGAGTCTAGGCTAATGTTTATTTTTCTATGAAATGTGGAGGATAGAAAAAGTTACTTGTTCGTCTCATCTGAAACTTCGATCGATTGTGTTCTTAGAAGCTCTTAACGGTGAGTTCTTAGAAGCTCTAAAGTTGCTTCCTTAGGTGATCGATTGTGTGTGCTTATTACAAAGTTATGTACTCCTTCCGCTCGAATGTATGCTTCCTTAGGTAAGCCCAATATGCTTACTAACTTTGTACTAAACCAGCAACAAGTAATATGGATCGGAGGGAGTACGAAGTTACGGTCTTGTTTTCATGTTCCGTAACAATTGATGGCGTCTACATTGCAGGTTCAAACTTGACCATTTGTTACCTCATCATTTTCTATATATGTTACGGAAATCTCTTGTTTTACTGTTTCCATACTGTTACTAGGTTCAGTTTACTGTATCTATTTGGTTGCCACTTCAAAACTGCATGGAGAATATTGCAGATTTTCCGGAAGCAACTGATTTTTTTGAGGACTTGTTAGTTTGAGCTTTGACTATAAGTTCTTGCAAACACCTATATAATATGGTTTATAATAATTTACCTTTTTTCGTTAATGCATGGTGCAATGCTTCGCTTCTGCACCCCCTTAAATGCACGAATAATGGACCATTAGTTTACATTGCTTCAGCTTGTTGATTAGCAAAGCTTGAAGCTGAACAATCAAAGTTCATACTCCCTCCATCTCAGCTTACAAGGCTTGCGCGTATATGTAGGTCGTCAATTTAACTTATATAAAATAAATTGTTTAACACAAAAAATATATCATTAGAAAATAGAATATCTAAACTTTCTAATGATATATTTTTTGTAATGTATGCCTCTTATTAAGTTGGTCAAATTAATGACCTAGGTACACGTGCAAGACTTGTAAACTGAGATAGAGGGAGTAGACGCTTGCAGTTAGGTGTACAAGTCATTTTCTGTGTTCTCCACAACGTTACCCTCCTAAACATGCTGCACTTACTTTAAATTTAGTATGGCTCGTAAAAAGGAGTAATAGATTGTTCCTGACATGACCCTGAATGTCAAGGAGCGATATTTTGTAAATTTGGAGACATTGAGTGAGTATTTAGGTAAATATTCTTCTATGGGCATCGATTTCTCTTAGTAGCCAAAAGACATTCTCCACGGCAGTTAATACTCCCTCCGTCCGCGAATAAGTGTACATCTAGCTTTTGTTCTAAGTCAAAGTTTTAAAATTTTGATCAACTTTCTTGACAATAGTAGTAAGATATATGACATTAAATTGGTATATTATCAAAGTACATTTCAAAACGGGTCTAGTGATACTAATTTAGTGTCATAAATGCTTTTACTTTTCCCTAAAAAAATGGTCAAAGTTTTAAAAACTTTGATTTAAGACAAAAGCTAGATGTACAATTATTCGCGAATGGAGGGAGTATGCCTTAAACTGAAGATCATTTCAGGTTTATGGACTAGTTTTGGTGTTTCGAAACAGTTGGTGACGTCTACATTGCAGGAAAACGGTTTTACCTGCAATTGAACTCGGCCATTGTTTTACCTCATCATCTTCTATGCTTTTGTAATTTCTTGTTTTACTGCCCCCATATTGTTATTGAGTTAAGAATACTGCACCTCATTGGTTGCGACTTCAAAACTGCATGGAGAGATTTGCAGATATTCCAGAAGCAACCAAAATTAATAATAATTGCGAGGACATTTTAATTTGAGCTTATTTTTAGTGTTTGACTATAAGTTGTTGCAAACACCTACATAATCGGGTCTATAATGCTTTGCAAACACCTATATTGATCATGTCAGAAACACCTATAACCTTACTACTTAGCCTTTGTTAATGCATATTGCTTCTGCACCATCAATGTACACTACTTCAACTTGTTGATTATTAAAGCTTGAATCTGAACAATGAAGTTCATAAATATTTGCAGTTAGGTGTACAAGTCACTTTCTGTATTCTCCACAACATATACCCCCTGAACATGTTGTGCTTATTTTGGACTGAAAAGATGTTGTTGTCCCATCTAAACCATAGATGCATCGGTATGTATTTGGCATCTATGTATTTGAAATTCTTAGCATACCAGATTTAATTGTTTGAAATTTAACTAATGGAATACAAAGGATGATTTTTAAAACCCGTAAGGTACAATAGAGTGTTTCTGACATGACCCTGGATGTCAGCAACAATGTTCTGTAAATTTGGAGATAGTGGCTGATTAAGGGTCAACATTCTTCTATGGGTGTCAATTTCTCTTAGTAATCAAAAGACATTGTTCAAAGCAGTTAATATCCCTTAAACAGAAGAACATGGCCTCTGGACTGGAAGTCAAAACGTTTTATATGCTCACCTAGTGAGGCCTTTCTACTGTGAAGTTCGCCTGTCCTGATATTCTCATGGATCATGGACGTTTCCAGTTCTTGCCAGTGATATTCTTACCAACATATTGTTCGAACAAAGTCATGCGTCATTTCTTCATAATCATGTCAATCATCATGTTGTAGTATTGTTCTATCCGCAAAGGGATTGCAAATTTGCAGTTACTATTCTCATACCAAGCTGAATAGCTAGCTGCTTTGCCTTGGTTGGGCATAACTATCATATGATAGGACTTAATAGTATAGCTTGGTGTTTAACTAATTCATGGAAATTGAATACAACATCATTTCTAAGTCACTTAGGGAGTATAAACTTGATGTTAGGTTTTTCCTTCCGCAATGTCCGCCCACCCTGCAGAACATCACCAAGCTCCAGAAGGCCTTCCTATGGGCGGGAACGGACAAGACAACCGGTGCCAGGTGCAAGGTTAACTGGAACACGGTGTGCAGACCACTAAAATATGGGGGCCTCGGTGTGCTTAACACGAAGAAATTTGGGAGGGCACTAAGATTGAGATGACTATGGTTCAAGTGGAAGGAGCAAACAAAAATGTGGGCGGGTTTGGGCAACTCGTGTGATGACAAGGACTATAACTTGTTCTACTCCTTCACAACCATTACCGTCGGCAATGGTGCGTGCACGTCCTTTTGGGAAGCCCCCTTGGGTGCATAATATGAAGCCCAAGGATACTGTGCCCCTCATCTATGAGGCAT